CACATTTTACAAATAAGAAAATGCGATTTTTGTAAAAAATAAGTAAACTTTTATTTTAAATTTAATTTAATTTCCGGATTGGTTGCACGTTGTCGGTTTAGGTTTCTTGATGTTTCGAGAGATATATCGCTCGCTTCCTCAGAAGTAATTAGTTTTCTAGTTTTTGAAAAGACCGATATGTCTCTCGAAGCATCAAGAAACCTAAACCGATGACGTGGCAACTGGCCCGGAAATTGTTCTATCATTAACGACTGCTACGGTGCCTGCAAACCAAATAAAAGTAACTTTTCTAATTAAAAAATAGAAAAAAGAATAGAACTGAAATTAACAATAACAACGAAGCAAGTTCTATTCAACTTGTAAACCTCCAAGTTATACACATTTTTCTAATCGTTTTCTAAATTCCTTATACAAAGACGAGATCATTTCTTCGTTTCTTGCAGGGCATCCGTCTTGTTGAAATATTAGTTTTCTTCTGAAATCTAAATTTTCGGTATCTAATTCTGCCAAAACCAAATTATTGAGAATTTCCAAATACGAATTTTGATTAAGATTCTCTTTCAATCAAAAAGTAAAGACCCATTATTTTATGATGGGTCCATATGATGCCACACCAGACATTTACTTTTTTAAATTTTTGCTCAATCGATAATTTAGATTATCTTTAACCCAGTATTTACAATTTTGAAAGGAAACCACAACTAATGAGTTGTGAATGTTGATTCGTCAGTAAATAAAATATAGGTAGTGATGAAAGAATCTGTTTTCAATGTGCGAGAAACCCATTGTTAAACAAAAGTCCAAACGATGACCATCATCTTCATCAAGCAATTTATGATTAAACACTGGTTTGAATGGATAGATTTTGTTGTATTTTAAAATTCTTTGAATATGGGATCTGCTAATATCGATCTTTTCTGGCCTTCTCCTGAGTGACATCTTTGGATTGTCTTGTACAGAGTCCATAATTACAACAGTAGCAGCATCGTTATCATTGTATTCTTTTTTTATCTTCTTAATATTCTTTACATCACCAGTGATACCGAATCTTATAATTATAGTCCAGACGGAGATATCCACGGAGATTTTTGGCTTTTTGGCTTTCAAATATCACTAGAAATGAAAATTTTTCTATGGGCATAAAAAAACGTGGGCATAACTTTTCACGGAACAATATGTTAAAAAAATTCGAAAAATGTCAATTTTCTTCCTATTTAATTATGTATCTTTTCAAGAGTTGATTTTAGGCGAAAATTGAAGAGGAAAAAAATGTTTGCAATTAAATTTTTTACAAAATATGTCTAGTTACAAATCGAATGAATCATGATTATTAGGGTAAAAATCGAAAAAATCGCAAAAATGGGGTTAAAAAACAATACGCTTTAGGGATTTTTTTGGGGTATTTAAATTGGGTATAGGACCTTTATACTTGACTCAAAAAAACTTCATATTATGTAGAATATTCACACCAAATTTCATTAAAATCGGTTCGATAGATTTGCATAATAATTTTGCAATCCAGATTTTGAAAAAAAATTTGCAAATTTTCAAAATTTTGCACAGCAAAAACCAAGCCCCTAGATATTTGAAAATTTAATCACATATAGAAGGGAAGCTTTCAAACTCTTTTTGAAAAATTCGAATCCGTCAATTAGGAGAGCTCTGGCGCTTGTTTAAACATTGGTCGAATTTTTGTACTTTGAACTTTGTGAATATTCAATCAAATAAAATTTTTTAAAGCAGGTTTTAAAAGTTCTTGGAAAAACGCTTCTTTAAAAAAAACAGATCGTTTGATCAATTAGTTACGTAGTTATAGCCGATTCAATTTCGAGCAGGCCGAAGCGAATTTATTGAATTTCTCGCTTGCATAAATAACTTTAAACACGTTTTAAAGTAGGTTGCCAATGAAGAAAAGTATTGTAATTTTAGACCTGGTAAGTACTCGGAATACCAAAGGTATTTTTCGAAAAATTAGCTCGGATGCCCCAGTACATTTAGTGTAAATGACGGCTATAACTACGTAACTAATTAATCAATCGTTCTGTTTTTTTTTTAAGAATCGTCTTTCCAAGAACTTTTAAAACCTGCTTTAAAAAATTTGATTTGATTGAATATTCACAAAGTTCTAATTGTTTCTAAAGTACAAAAATTTGACCAAAGTTTAAACAAGCGCCAGAGCTCTCCTAATTGACGGATTCGGATTTTTCAAAAAAAGTTTGAAAGCTTAAGAGCCCTTCTATATGTGACTAAATTTTCAATTATCTAAGGGCCTTGGTTTTTGCTGTGCAAAATTTTGAAAATTTGCAAATTTTTTTTCAACATCTGGATTGCAAAATTATTATGCAAAATCTATCGAACCGATTTTGCTGAAATTTGGTGTGATAATTCTACATAACATGAAGTTTTTTTTTGAGCCAAGTGAGCATTTTAAATACCTCAAAAAAATCCCTAAAAAGTATTGTTTTTTAACCCCATTTTTGCGATTTTTTCGATTTTTACCATAATAATGATGATTTGTAAAAAATTTATTTGCGAACATTTTTTTCCTCTTCCATTTTCGCCTAAAATTAACTCTTGAAAAGATACATAATTAAATAGGAAGAAAAATATGACATTTTTCGAATTTTTTAAACAAATTGTGCCGCCAAAAGTTAAGCCCACGTTTTTTTTTATGCGCATAGAAAAATTTTCATTTCTAGTGGATGGAATCTCCGTGGATATACGATTCATCCAAACCAAAACAGATACCGCCTAGTTTATTAGCTGGCGAATTGCTCTACGAGTTACAGTTAGGTACATTTGGATACTTTTCATTAAAAATTTGTATTGCATATGGATATGAAACATTATCGATCATACCATTTCAGAAGATAAATTCGTTGCTCCAAGGTTAGCATTATTAATAAAAATTATTGGGTGGGCAGTTAATAAAAATAAATATGTTGATTTTGACATTGGTAAGGAAATATCCATGGTAATTATATGGTATGTTTCTTTTCTGACTAAACCCCGTATTTAAGCATTTCTTGTGTTCTCGAACAACTTCGTTAAATACAGTTTTTAAGTAAAACAAAAATTAAAGGCACTTTACTTCGGGAAAATTTAACATTTTGAAAATTTTCGGACGCCCTGTATATTTTAATATACAAGGTGTCCCTGTACTTGATACAAAAAAGTACAGATAGATGAGGTCAAAATAATATCAGTTCTTCATATACATTTTTTTCATAAGGACCTTCGTTAACAAGTTACGGGCCCTCAAAAGTGATAATTGAAAAGTTATTTTTATTTACAGTTTCTAAACTATTACCTTCAGCATGCTGCAAATTTGGTGATAGATAACACATGCGTACAGCTTGTTTTTAATGTTGTAAGTGAAACTTCATTATGCCCAGAACGCCAGGGACGGACTATGCCCAATGGATAATAACCCAGAATTTTTGCATAAATGACGATCGCAAAGTTCCTGTATCAAAAATAAGTTTACAGAAGAATTTGCTAACGATAATACCCTCTAGGTTCAACTCGGTAAAATTAACAGTTTAAGGAATATTTATGATTTTATGTCACAGTACACATCGAGCGGCGCCTCCACCATTTTTTGTTTTTAATTTTTAATTGGACATAATTACTATGTTAGAACCGTACATATTTTTATAATCAGAGCCTAGAAAATCTTATTGTCTGCTAATATAATTTTCACTAAATTTGTCAAACACACTTTACACATAACACAAAATAGAAAACAAAATAATAATAAGTCAAAGTAAGTTGGGCCTCATCTCCCAATCCATTTAGTATTAAACACGATGGATAAATAATTTCGTACATCAATATTGAAATGGGGAGGTGCCCCATCGTGCATGAACCAAACGTTTCTTCTGGTATTTAATGGAACATTGTCTAATAGTGGCTGCAAATTATTTTCCAAAAACTCCAAATATAGGTGTTCCTCAAAAACGTATGGACCTATTAAATTATTACCCCAGAACTGCTTTTTCGTGTACAAACAAATAACATTCGTAGTCTTAGGAAGTGTGTGGATTCAGAAGGTGTGCATATTGAGAATATATTTTGATAGGTTTCTTTCTTTTAAATATTTTTTTTTTATTTTTAACTTATTCTTGTTTTATTTTTCTATTTTGTGTTATGTGTAAAGTGTGTTTGTCAAATTTTGTTAGTGAAAATTACATTAGCCGACAGTAAGATTTTCTAAACTCTTATTTTAAAAATATGTGGGCTTCTAACATAGTAAGTTAAAAATGAAAGACAAAAAATGGTGGAGGCGCCGCTCGATATGCGCTGTGACGTAGCATCACAAATATTCCTTAAACTGTTAATTTTACCGAGTTGAACCAAGAGGGTATTGTCGTTAGCGAATTCTTCAGGGAACTTATTTTTGATAAAGGCAGATTGCGACCGTCATCCATGCAAAAACACTAGATTGTTAACCATTGGGCATAGTCCGTCCCTGGCATTCTAGGAATAATGAAGTTTCACTTACAACATCAAAAACAAGCTGTACGCTGTACGCATATGTTATCGATCACCAAATATGCATCATGCTGATGTTAATGATTTAGAGACTGTAAATAAAAATAACTTTTTAATTTTCACCGTTGACGGCCCGTAACTTGTTAACGAAGGTCCGTATGAAAAAAATTTATATGAAGAACTGAATTATTTTGACCCCATCCATCTGTACTCGACATTTTTGTAAGAAGTACCGGGACACCCTGCACATTTGATTACTTGTCATGGCTTCCCAATGTAAGCAAAACTTTTTATCAAGAATAACTTTTTCTCGAAAAATCGACAATAAAAACGTTTACAAGAGTGTGGTACCCAGTCCTGAGACACACTGTATATCTCTGTACTTCATGGACCACTGAGATTTTTTGAAGTGTAAAATCAAACGAATTTTAGCAAAACAACGAAATATTAGGTAAGTTTGTTTTCTACGGAAAATTGACAAAATAGATTACATACAAGCTTCTTACCTCTGACTACTGTGAATATACTATCCTGTGGCCCAGTCCTTACATATTAGAACGTCGCTTAGAACATGCTGTTAGTCCTGCTCGCTCAGGTGACTTGGAAGATCCCAAGGAACTACTGCAACAAAATAGTACTATGATGCGGTGTCGTCTTGTCTAATTTATGATTCCATTGGCGTGCTTTAAGACGAATTAAAGTGTGTCGATTAACATAGCTGTTCTTCCTCTTAGAAAATCAACAGTCCAAAAATTTTTGTTTGTCAACCACAAAAATACTTGTTTATGATAGATGGCGTCACAACTACCAAACTGACATTTTGATTCCCTATTAACTTAATTCTGCTATCAAATATAAGATATTTGGCAACGTCACACTGGTTGACTTCTATTCATTCGTTAAAAATAGTAAATAAATTGAAAAACTACAAAGCAACGGCGAATATAACGAGCGTTCAAATAAAAACGTGGTCGAAGTTGGCTCTGACACATTGGACGTAGGGAGTAGCTTATAGCGACCAACTTAACCTCTGTCAGTTTCAATAACGTTAATGACTATATAACTTTATTTTAAAGAATAATCGTGATAACAATAACAAACAATTAAAGGAGCTGCGGAAAGTGTCCCCTCCTTGTTATAACAATAAATTAAAGCAGCTGCTGAAAGTGTCCCCCTCCTTGTTCCAAGCACTTTTCACACCTGTTCCTCAAAGAATTAAAGACATTTTCTAAGATGCTCGGGGTATTGTTAATTTCACGAATCTTGTCTATAAGTCGAGCCTGCAGATGGTTTAAATCAGGAATAGGCAGTTCAAAAATAGTGTTTTTAAGGTAAGGCCACAAAAAGAAATCACACGGCGTAATATCACATGACCTCGGTGGAAATTCATGTTCAGCATTGAGACTTATTAGCCGATTTTGGAAAACTTCGTTTTTTTTCGTTTTCTTCCAGCTGGTTAACAAAAGGAGCGATAATTTCTTCTCTATACCTTTGCGCAGTAAGAGTACCATTAAACAAAATAGGTCCATCAATCCTATTTCGATTGAGAGCACACCAAACTCCAATTTTTTGAGCGTGTAGAGGGCCCTCGACAAAAAAGTTATCTGGTTTTTCAGAAGACCACATTCTCATATTCTGTGAGTTTACGTAACCACTTAAATGAAACCAGGCTTCATCAGAAAAAAAGGTGATATTATGAAGTTCACCGTAGTTGTTTAAAAACCATTCACAAAATACAGCCCGTCGCGGAAAATCAACTTCATGAAGTTCTTGCTGACAAGTTAAACGATAGGAGAACAAACGCAAATCTTTTTTTAACACTGTGTGGCAGGTACCGACTGATACTCCCACCATTTGTGATAAAACACGTACAGAAGTTCTTGGCGCATTTTCCATTATTTGTTGGACATTTTCTTTTAATTCTTCTGTCCGCTTTTTAGGTCGGCCGCTTCCTTCTTTTCTTGTTACACTGCCCGTTTCACGAAAAATATTAACACAACGCTGAACTGCACTTTGAAAAATTTTGTACTCAACAATGCCGGGTAATTGATTTTGAAATTCTATGAAATATTCCTCAATAGAATACTTCCATATTCCATCAATCTTGCGTCCATTTCTAAAGTAGGACTCTATGATAAACACTTTTTGTTCTTGAGAAAACACCATTTTAAACGCTTTTTAAAACGAAAATATTCAAATTGATAGCGGCGATATAGCGCTTTGACAGATGACGTTTAAGTTCATTTGCTATACACTACGCCCTACGTCCAAATTTTCAGAACCAACTTGTTCACGTTTCTATTTGAACGCTCGTTAGATCCATGAGCGCAGCATTTCATAATCACAATTTTTAATTCGATTCGCAAAAATTGTAACAAACTAATTATAAAATGGGGGATAGTTTATTAAATTTATCGCCAAAAGATCGCCCATGCTGATGTGTTAAAAATAAATTTTAATGACTTGAATTATCGATAATGTACAGGGTGATTCTTCTGTATAAAGCCCACTAAAGAGACTTATCTTTGAAATACAAAAAGAAAAAGAGTAAAAACCCAATAAAATATTGTGTGTATGTTACTACTTAATAAAAAATGATACAATTTAAATTAACTTGGTAAAAAAACCACTGCATTTCGAAAGACTTTTGTTAGTCAATAATATCGTATTATTTGCTTTTAAATAGATTTTGTCTTACCAGAAAATCCTGTTCAAGTCTGTATCCTTTTTTTTTTAAGTAATTACACAAGCAGCAGCGAAATGAGACCACTTTGCATATTCTTCCACAGATTATTTATGTGTGTACACAAAGATAAAACGAATCCAAATCTAGACGGTAGTAAATCAGTTTATAATTTTTTTAATAAATCACTTGGCTGCTAGGTCACTGATCACGCAATGACGAACAGTGTTGCCACTTCTACACAGAGATCTAGATTACAAAGATTTTGGATCTTTGACGATCAAGTAGACGTTTTAAGTGTTTATTTGGTGGCAATTTTGAAAATAAAACCAGTTTGCCGCAGATATGTTTAAAAAAAAAAACATAATTTTTTAAAATACAGGAAATACTTGTGAGTGCGCTTATAGGAGCTGTTGCTGATTTTAAATGCTGTTAAATGTTTTCTGCTATAATTAGCCAATTATCTTTACAACTAGCAACTTTTGGAAAGTATCAAGGTATAGTGTGGTTGGAAATATTGACGCCTCAAACAAATGTATTACAACAGACGGGTTGATAAAGCCTGTGCCAGTTTATGTTTTAATCATGTTTACATAAAATAGCACTATTAACGATAAAGGTCGTCAGTCACAGACTTTTTACATACAAAGTGTGATCTAACAAACATTAATTTTTAAGCACATACCTACTTTATTGAAGTAGAGTGCAATTTGTTTGACATTATACCTAGATTTAAAAAGCGATGGTCTTTGGCATTAAATTTACACCTATACGCAGAGCTAGGAGTATATTCACAAAAAAATACCAAATAGTATTTTCAATAAAAAATAGTATTTTGTATTTTGTAATTAAAATACATTTGTTATAACCCCAAAAATATTTTGTATTTGAAATACTTTAATAAAGTATTTCGTATTTCTTGTATTTTTGTATTTTAAAAAAGTATTTATAATCTTCTAAAAGTAATTTAAATACTCTTGAGTATTTAAAATACTCGAAGTATTTAAAATTCCCAAAATACCTACCAAAAACAAATACTTTTTGCGTGTTACGACCGGCGGCTGGTATAGTCTTTCCGATATCAATTGAAGAATCAAGAGGTTGACAGTATGTACCAGGTTCGGTCGCTGACGCAGCAACTCGGCATTGAAACATTTGAAAAACTTGTTTCCATATTTATTTAGCCATACCCATATACAGGTCAGGTCGAACTAAACGTGGAGGTGGTTGAAATGTATACGCCCAGTTGAAGAATGCGAACGCGGGCAAATAAAAACAAACACAGCTGCATTGGGCCACTGGGCAATAAATCTCTGCTGTTGACAAGTGGTTGACAAATTGCCCAGCAGTGCAGTGCAGCAATGCGGAAATTGGTATGATTCAAATAATTTTAATTTACTATAGACACCTTCTATTAATCATTCATATTACAATTGCGAAATAGAGAAATAAGAGGGACATTTTGTTTACTAATATTATTACAACATGGCAATTTGGAGGCCTTTTGAAAGGGAACAAAACGAAATTTAACATCAATCTGTTGTTGGCCAAATGAACATATAATAAAAATTTTCTACACATTATATACAAAATATTATAATTTTTTACCTTTAGCAGAAAACTTTTTTAGAGACGCCTATGAAAGTTATTAAATTTTATTGTCAGGCGTTTTTTTTGGATGTTCAACTGACTTCGGAAAGACCATACCACACGTGCTAAAAAAATTATTGGATTACGCCTGGATTTAGCGCATTCTACTCTGCATTCTGCAATGTGCGTTGTTGTGTTATTTCTATTCTGTCTACTATCTTTTAGGTCACTATCGTCACTACTCAAGTTAATAGACAATCGTCAAAATTTAAAATTGATTTATTTTATCATTAGTGGGCTATTCTAAGAAAAACTAATAAAAAAATATGAGTGAATTAAATATTCTGCATCTCAGTAATTCAGATGAAAATGATTGTTAAGTCACATCTTAAGAGTTTCAGATTTAATATTTCAGAAAAATATTTTAAATACTGTTAATAATATTTTCAATATACTTATTTAGTATTCAACGCACTTAAAATACTATTTTTATTTAATTTATATTTAAAATGCTTTGCCAAAGTATTTTCTTTTTAAGTATTTACTAGTTACTAGTATTTTGTAATTTATATTGTATTTGTAATTTTGCCCAGCTCTGCCTTATAGGCGAGCGGTTTACCCCTAAAGAAAAGGCATGAACCGACTAAATTTTTAAAACAAAAACCTACGGCATGAAACTTTTTTTATTTTATAGTGTATTTTTCTAATAACTTACATCTATTTTTTTATATTTTTCGGCGTAGTCAGTCAATTGTTATAAACAAAAAAGTTGTAAAAAAATGACTCGTCGAATGGAAATAGTTTCATTTTGAAAAATGGACCAAAATAAACACATTTTATTCTTTGACAAAAATTCGAAAAATGCTTCGTTTCCGAGATATTTACAATTTAATGTGAAAAAAGTTACGAAATCGACAAATTTTCGGAATTTTTTTCTCAAAAACTACTGAACTAAGCATAATAATCGGCAGATTTTCTACTTTATGATATATTTTTTTGGTATGGGTCAATCATTTTATTGAAGGTCTAAAGCGAGTAAAAAAAGTTTTTTAAAGAAAATTATGATAACACTTCAAATTTAAATTTTCTTTTTACAATATCTTGGATTAGATTATATTTACAATAAACATTATTATGATTTTTTTAAATCGATATGTTAACAGTACAAATGTTCTATAGATCATTTTGTTTGGTTTTGTAGCCGGAGTAAGGTTTTTGCAAGTAATTAGAAAAATTTAAATAATCGATTTTTGGTTTTATAAATGGCTAAAATTGACTTGAAAGTTATACCAAAACTAAACTAAATAAGTTTTTAAATCGTAAAATTAACCTAATAATAATAATTGACCTAGCGGTCTCGAAAAATAATAAAGTTATTGTATAATTTATTGTATAGGATAATTATTTTATTTTTATTTTACTAAAATATTAAGAGCAATAAAAGTATATTAATTTCTTTTTTATTTCACCATCAATTTCTGATGGAACATTCTGACATTCATCTGAGCACGCACAGACTGCACAGCATTCCAGGTTCGATGACAATCAGTTACAATTTTTCGTAGAACATTTTCCACTACACGAACATAAATATTTTTGAAGCATATCTAACGCAGTTTCTCCTTCGAAATAATCCAAGCAACCATTTTCGATTTTCCATCCATGTGTCAATGGATCTAGAGCAAGGGTCGGCAACTGGCGGACCGCGGTCCAGGTCCGGGCCGCGGAAAGTAAAATACTGGACCGCCAAAAATTTTTTGAAAGTGTAACTTACTCAAATAAATAATTTAAAAAATGTTTTTTACGTTTAAGTGTCAATCTTATCATTTTTTCTAGTATTTTACAATTGTGTGAGTGTGTGAGTTATTAATTGTTAGTAAGCAGATTAAATTTGAGTCCAAATTAAAATAAAAAAAAAAAAAAAAGAATTTTTTTTATGGACCTCGTTAAAAATTTTCAAAAGTATCCGGACCCCACCTAAAATTACTTGCCGACCCCTGATCTATAGTTACAATTTCACTATTTGTAGCCTGCTTCCATTCACTTATTTGCCATTTTTATTTTTATTTACTCGCTTTAGACCTTCAATAAAATAATTGACCTATACCAAAAAAATATATCTTAAAGTAGAAGATCTGCCGATTATTATGCTTTTTTTTAGAATTAAATTTCTGTTCAGTAGTTTTTGAGAAAAAAATTCCGAAAATTTGTCGATTTCGTCACTTTTTTCACATTAAATTGTAAATATCACGGAAACGAAGCATTTTTCAAATTTTTGTCAAAGAACAAAATGTGTTTATTTTGGTTCATTTTACAATAAAAAACTATTTCTTTTTACAACTTTTTTGTTTACCTATAACAATTGACTGACTACGCCGAAAAATATAAAAAAATATATAAATTATCAGAAAAATACCCTTTATAAAATAAAAAAAGTTTTATGGTGTAGGTTTTTGTTTTAAAAATTTAGTCGGTTACCTTCATTTAGAAACATCTTTTTTGGGGTGAACCGCTCGCCTATTACGACACTTGCTAAGTTTTAGTTTCTTCTAATTTCACACCCTCGCCTTGGAAATTTGTAAACATTCTTTTATTCCTACCCTAAAAATTATTCGAACGAACCGCAACGGGCTCTAAAAATATTTTATCCGCTGATTATTTTTTATTTTTCTCCAACAAGGCCATACGGGTCGTTCTTCATGTATAAGAGTTATATTTAAACCTGCAGCATCCAATCTTAAAGCAAAACCAAGCTCATTTAACAACGTGGTTCAGCAATTATGCACATGAGGTAGACCTGGCGATCTTTGATATCTCCTCTTTACGACCTATTAATTTCATTTAGCAGTACTTTAGCTGCACCAGCGGCGTAAGCTTGGGACGGCCAGCGGAGACTCCGCTTCTGTTGTCAACGAAACAAATGAGTGAATACTCTAATTATACAAACTTCGTTCCAAAGTAAACAGGCATGGGCTGGGGTGGGCCCAGGGCTAAAAAAACGCACGCCCCTCAGAACTGAAAAAAGGCCCCACAATCAGAGACCTAGCAATAAAAAATTTTAAAACCCCCAATAGATGACCTCACTTGAAATAACTATTTTTGAAAAGTCCTATTACTTTGGTATGCACCTTATACTTTACTGGATTCAAGAAACAACGTAAGGATTTAATTCGTTCACCCCGTATACCCTATAACGACGAAAATATGTGATTTGGTGCTTCGTATTAACCTTAATTTACCCTTTGGGTAGTGAATCTATTTTTTTGCTGTCAGAAGACTACTGGACTGCAGTATTAAACACACTGTATTTATAACGATGAAAAATAGGTTCATTAGGCTTACCTGGACTCGTTAGTTAAAATAGATGGCCTTGGTGTAAACATTGAACCCTTTTTTGTCAACAGGTAATATTCAAATTTATTCGCAGTCAATATTTTGCTTGCCAATTAAAAAAACAGCCATCACAATTTAAAGTATATAAAAGTAGTATTTATTTAATAGGCACAATCATATTTTATCTTTAAGCGCGCTTTTACTATTGTGAAGCGAACTTTGCGAATCACTTTCTATTCAAAACATGCATCGTTAATTGCCCAATATATTATTTTTTTAAAGAATTTGGGTTTAGTCCAAAAAAAAAAAAATAGACAATATGAATCACACACATGAAATTAGTATGTATTTTTACCAAGAAAGTGACCTACAGATGTGCTTCAACATTACTATTTACTACTGCATTCAAGGACTGGGGTAAATATTTTTGAAAGAAATAAACTTGTCATAATTTCTAATCACCACGTAATCAATGTAGGAAGCATGAAGGTTAGATAGTGATATAATGCAGAAGGTCAAAGTTTTTTCTATGAAATTACACTCCAGTGAATTAAAATATTGCAAAGTGACAGTATATTTTTAATTGCGTGTTGTTGTGATCGATTTTGCATAAAATAGATATTTTAAAATGCATTGGAATAGGTAAAAACAGTAATTAGCGAAACATAATGTTTTTTATTGTGATTTTCCACGAATATTTAGTAGTAGTAACCTTATTTCACTAAAAAATTTAATTGGTACACAGTGACGACACAACTGCATCTCGTTGACTAAAGTAATTCTAGTTAAAAGCGATTCGAATTAGTATTTGTTTACTTGCAGTACTGCATTATAATTGCCTTTCAGACTTTGCTCTGGATTTTCTATTTCTATCCTTAAGAAACATGAAATGGTATTTCGAAATTATCAAACTCAATCTGATAAACAGATTTTTCCATTCTGATTTCTTGAGATATGTGTAATTCGTCCCAAGATGAATTCAAAAATTTAAATATAGTCAAAATTTATTGTACTTAGTCAATAATCAAATGAATTTAACTCGTATTGAGTACATACATTAGTCACAAAAATTAAAGGATAAAAAAAATCCTAATTATTTAGCTGATCTTCAAAAGATTGTAACTTGGCGAAAAATGAAATAAAAAGAAAGCAAATTGAAGCTTGCAGTTTCTAGTTTCACGATCTGAAAGTTAAAATTTTTATCATTGATCACCGCCAAAAAATCATAACCTCAAGGTATCCGAAATAAAATTGTGTAGCCTTGGTAAGGTAAACAAAAATTTTTTATGTATTTATATGTATTTCGATTTTTTTTTCATTTTTTCTGATATTTAACATTTTTTTCAACTTAAAAAAAATAGAGGATGCAAAATTTATCCTTTAATTGATTTTTAACAGAAATTAAATTACAATGGAAAAAAATTGCAGCTGCTTGAACTCTAGAGGGTTTCTTTGGAATACTTTGAGGATTAAAAAAAACGAAAATGTCCTTAGTCTATTCATTATTTGTAATGTTATCTCAAATTTAGCGAAAATCCTTAAATACGCACATTTGTACCCTTTTTTTTTTAAATGTTTACCAAAAAACGATAAGAACGTCTTATAGACAATACCTTGAAGTTTTCAAAAGCCTACTTAGATTATCTGTACCATCATTAGTTCCCAAATCCAAAAAAGTCATTTTTGAATTGAACTACGACAGCTTAACGACAAATCGTCGTACAAAGCTCTTCAGCAGCTCAAGTTAGAAGATGAATCAAATTAAAAAAAACTGATATGTGGGATTGTCAAAAAAAAATTTATTGAACCTTTTGAAAGGGAAGCAACAATTTTGAATTTATATTTTCCGCTGGATTCTTAAGATTTCTTGAAGGAAGTCAACGATACAAATTTTTGACTTTCAATTTGACTTTTTTTCTTCTTCTTTGAGATTCACATCCCTTTAAATAATATAAACTTTACCTAAGTGTAGAAATTGTAGCAAAATTACCTGAAGTATATTAATCGTTGTTATTTTACTTCGAAAAGAATTCTAACAGCGATATTAATCCTCCAGTAAGAGGCGATCACCCTGTATATATTTGATTTTTCGAAATCCACACTAGTGCGCCAAAAGTGAAGCACCTTGTCCATCTAGACACACAAGTCTTTCACTTCACCAACAGATTTGAGATATTTTTTAACTATAAACCACTAAATTCACAATTTTTAAGCGATTTCCAGCCGGTTGCCCAACAAAACCCACTTTGCCACGCTCCTCCAGCCGCTGCTACCTTTATATCAGAAGTTTTTGATGGATTTACGACGTTTACCTCGTTTTTTCCGAGAATCGTTTACTTTTTTCCACTCGCTGACAGTCCAGATCTTCGCCCTGGCTCGCGACGCGCTATATACACGGGGTTCGCGTCTCGCGGTGCCGAACCGTTTTCCAAATGGACTTAAGGCTGAGTCGTGGTCTTTTTTTGCGCTGGTACTTGAACTGGTTCAGCCTTTTCTGAAAGTGAGGACCGATCCAGACTGCAGCGATGATGGTGATGTCTTTAGCGACTTGCGGCTGACTGATGATGGCCGCATTGGCGTAGCGGACTCGCGAGAGGTGAAAGTTGTAGGGGACCCGGTGGAAGAGGGTTGAGGCTAAGGGGACGGCAGAATAACGTTTTAATTTTGGCGTTTCGCGAAAAAAAACTTTATAAAATTATGCGTAGAAGAATCACAGAGCGTTTAATAAATAGGCACTGTTACATTGTTAATTTGAGGTTAGAATTACCGTAGTAGAGTTCCAAAAGAATGACCGAAAATTGAAAAAATTGTTTGTTTTTTAATCTTCTGATATAACGAACCGTCGTATTGTAGATTTTACCATTTTTTTTATGAAACACAGAGAAAACGGTGTCCTGATTCCTGATACACCTTTTAAGGGGGGGAACCACATTAGAAGGCTAATTTTCAAGCGTTTCTCACTGATTAGACTTTGATCAAACTTTGACATTATTCTATCAATATTTAACTAACTACATTTACAATTTTTTTCAAATCAATTGCCACCGAAGGTCGTTGTCCAAGTTGGGACGGGAAATGTGGAGGTCGCAATTTTGATGTGAAAGCAAAATTGTTGTTTTCCTGCATTATTAACATATTTTCTAAGAATATGAGCCTCATTGTGGGTAAAAATTGTGAACATTGAAGTTTTGACACGTGTATTTTGGATAAAAAAAACACCCTTAAAATTATATCATCCCAATTGTTGATTCATGTTCTTTGCAATTACTTAAAAACACGCTTTCAATTTTGATAACGATCGGTTCTTAACTTTTCGAGCTAGAGTTCCCGTGAATCAAAAATGCATTTGAAAATTTTAGAAAACTAGAAATTTGAGAAAGTTATCAATAATATAGAGCGCTTTCCGATTAATCAGCGATTCCAGCACCGTGTAACAGTCCTTCTTCCTCCTCATAGGCATCATTCCGAGCTAGCATGGTTCTTCTCTTGCTTAATAAAAGACGAGACTACGTGAACAAGCGCTCCGCCTTACTATGAGCCCGAACGCTAACCAGATGGGCGTTGGATTTTAGGCTCATAAAATCAGAACGAAACGGAATTTCGTTTTGAGATTTTGGGAGCATTTTCTGGAGTAGCTATACTAATAATCCAGTAAGCAAAGGTTTTTTCCAGGAAAAAAATGTAGAAGCTTTTTTCTCATCGGTTCTACATGTTTTTTGGGGTGCTGAATTTGAATCTGAGGTTTGCCACCTCTCCAGGCGGCGGCTTCACAAGGAAAATTGCAAAAAACCTCAAAGTTTCGCCACTTTTTTAGTATTTTTAACTATAACTCGAAAACTACCTAAGCGTTTCTTGATTATAACTATGATATATCAAATTAAAGTAGACAAAATTTCCTACAAATACGTATAATAACTCGAAGTCTGGACAATCCATAACGTTAGATGGTGTTAAAAAAATGGCATTTCTTGATTTTCCGCTAAAAAAGTTGAAAACGCGCTGCTGCTCTACTATCAATTTCATGCACCTCTAAAACCAATTATTTTATGATTATATCGACATGATAGTAAAAATATTTTACTAATATTAGCAAACATTCTAAAATAAAATGTTTTCTAACGATTAAGACAATACATTGCTTAAAAGTTATCATAGAAAAAGCATTTCAGACAGTATTTTCTGTACAGGCTGGTCCATTTTCGATGGCAAACTTGACTGTCAAATCAGAAATTTGCTATCTTCATTTGTTTCTGAGTTACAGGGCGTTTCTCGTTATTGTGACACTTTTGAACATGTCGGTATCTCAGCTGTTAAATAAGTTAGAGTTAAAGTGAAAATTGCTCAACACTAATTCTTTGGCGTAAAATTGAATGCCGGTATTAGATTTTTAGTAGGTCTTAAGATTCCGGAGTTATGACTCAAAGTTATATTTTTTTAAATGAAAATCGTAGCTGGCTATGGCCTAAAAAAAGGAGATTTTTTTTTGCTGTTCAGCAATATATCACATGCTATAGTTATTTTTCCAAACACAGAAGATACGGGGTGTTTTATATATAAATTCTATCCTTTTTTACATTTTAATATGGCTGGCTATGAAAATACATACAAAACTATAATTCTTACTTTTACAAAACTCATATCTATTGTAAAAATATGACGTTTATTTAAAATATATATTACAGATAAGAAAAGACAGAGTTTTCAAATTTTTATTCCACACTTCAACTGAAGTTACAATATTAAACGTAAATTAAACAATAGTAAGTACCTACACCAATAAAAACTTTCAAAAATGATAGCTAAATGTTCAAATTGCCGTCCCTCAACTGTCACACATTTCGCGCATCTTCTGGCAACGCTTCGGGTAGCAGTCATTAAATGTATATTTGAAATATTATTAAAAGGAATTTTAAATATAAAGTCTTTTAGAAAACCCCCAAAGGAAAAAGTCCAACGGACTCAAATCAGGTAACCTAGCTGGCCATCTAATCGGTCCGTTTGTTCCTATCCACCTATCTCCTAAAATTTCGTTAGTATCATATTATCACACGAGTATATGTTGTACATTTAAAATAAATGTCATATTTTTACAACAGATATGACTTTTGTAAAAGAAATAATTATAGTTTTATCTGTATTTTCATAGCCGGTTATATTAAAAAGGAAAAAAATATATTATTTATATATAAAACACCCCGTATCTCCTGTGTTTGTAAAAATAACTATAGCATGTGATATATTACTGAAAAGCAAAAAAAATCTCCATTTTTTTAGGTCATGATCAGCTACGATTTCCATTTAAAAAGATCTAAAAAACTAATACCGGCATTCAATTCTACGCTAAAGAATTAGTCTTGAGCAGTTTTCACTTTAACTCTAACTTATTTAACAGCTGAGATACAGACATGTTAAAAAATCACACAAAAACGAAAAACGCCCTGTAACTCAGAAACAAATGAAGATAGCAAATTTCCGATCTGACAGTCGAGTTTGCCATGAAAATCGAGCTCGAGAACGTCGTGTCAGATTTATCATATCTTTAGTAGTTTCTGAAAATTCCCTGAATTCCCATCGAAAATGGACCAGCCTGTACAACGCGAATTTATATAGATTATCCTAGAGCTTTTCATTTGAAAATAGTAATATATATTTTTTTAATTCAGTAGGTACTTAAATAACATGCTGACAATAATTATTATTAGTTACAAATAAAATCTTGTTTGTTACAAGTATAAAATACAGTTGCTATTAATGTCAAGTTTTAAGAAGAAAGATACAAAATCATTTTCGAGGATTTTGTCAATATTAAAACATACCTACTCTTTAATACAATATTTTGATGTAAAAAATTTAATTATACCACTTATTAGAGAGACTTAGAACCCTTTATTTGAGAATCTCGCTAACGTTATAATAACAGCAGTAAACGCGGATACGTTGTACAAAGTGCATTCCAAAGTAAATAGGACTTTTTAAAAAGAACAACTAAAAGTTTTTTTTGGCAAAACCAATTTTTTTTTATTCAAAATAGTCTTACTCAATGCAGCGATTTGCACTGTCTAAAAGCATGTCGAATGAGTTTTTAGATCGTCGGTCGCGATGTCCTTCAGGATGTCGGTACAAGCCTTTTAAACAGGCCCGGATCCAGAGGGGGTGGCGATGTGGCGATCGCCACCCTCAAAGCACAACATTTTTTAAAGATCTTCAATTTCTCCAAACGACAACAGGCAGTTAGTCGATATTAATGCAAGTCCCCCTTCCTAACCTACACCTTACGTCATCAAAAAAATAACAACAACAACAACAATAATAATAATAATAATGATAAAGAAGTGCTTTGCGCCACCCCCATAACCAGTCTCTGGATCCGGGCCTGCTTTTAATTGGCTTCTATGTCCACAAAACGCTTTCTTCTCATCGGCAAATGCATTTTTCCGAAAAGGAAAAGTCACACGGTGCCAAATCAGGCGAATACGGGGAGTGGTTGACAGTTAAAATGCTATTTTTAGTCAAAACATCGGCCACAAGTGGCGATTTGTGCGGAACAAACCGTGCACACACTTTTCGGTAGCCTAAATGTTTAGATGATCTATAACTCATTCTCGCACATTCACATTCAAGAATCAAATATTCATTCCGTTCCATACTAAATTACTAAACTGTGATTAGGTCACGGTTTTGGTAGAAAGTTAGTAACAGTCGTGACGTGATTCGTGATTTTGTAATATCAGTAATTAAATCACAGGTAGAAATATCTCCCATAACTACCAGAAAAGCGTGATCTTCAGGAGAACAGGCCTTAACCATATGAGTATTGAGTATTACCATTGTATAAGTTAATTTACTTATACAATGGTATTACTCATAATATGGCCTTAGCTGGCGCCGCCGCTGGCGGGTCTCAACCAGGACAGGAGGATGCCCCCGCGAATTGAATTAATTTCAACAGTATATCGGTGGTCTGTGACTATATCCTATCCTAATTAATCATTTATGAGTGATTTATTTTTGCACTTAATATTTAGTTAATTAAAACCAAGTCTGGGTAAAAAATGACTCAATAATAGTTAAATTTAAATTATATTAGAGAAAAAGTCAACTCTAAATTGGTTTTGTATACTCAGAACAGAGCCAAAAATTGCTCAATTCATAGTTAGCAGTAACTCGGATTTTAGTAAAACTCACTCATTTCTGATGCAATAGTTTCACTCAGTTGTACTCATACTAATAGAGTGAAATCTTCACTCAATCCGGGTGTGGACAGAAATTGATACATTATTGAGTACAATTGAGTGAAATTTGAGTGAAATTTTTTTACAGTGTACGACTGAGCCAGGCATGGGCATAGCTAGGATTTGTGCTAGGGCTGGGCTAAGGGCTGCAAGCTCTATGGAAGCCTCTAAAAAAACGCACGCACTTTAAAACCTAAACATTTTTTCGGTTCATTCTAAAAATAAAAAAGTCACAGTCAACGACCTGGAGGCGCGCAATCTCCCCTGCCCCCCCTGTCCAGCCCATGGATCCAGGAATAATCATAAATACCTTGAATTTGCGAAATATTAGCAACAGAAGCATTTTTAAATTTTTCAAGGGTGAAAATTACAGACGCCGATATTTTCGCGCGATCACCCTGTACCACGAAAGGTACCTAACTAAATTTCCCTATAATGCTGTAACGTCACATTACTTCTGTTTTAAAATTTGATGTCACTTTTAGGGTTGGGTTCCACAAGTTGAACTAGTACATATTTGTTTACTTTAAAAATATATTTCATATGCGTTATGAAATACGATGTCTCTGGTCGTTAATAAAAGGTTAATAAACCAACAAAAGGAAGCAATTTATTTAGTCTAACTGCGTATTCTAATATATATTTGAAACGGAAGTTACAATTTTGTTAGATTTATCTAAGGTGGCGATGTTTCTACAGGTTGTAAATGCCGTGTGAGTACAATACTGGTAATTTTTTACATACGCAGCTCCTGGTAAAACGATTAAAAATAATTTCCGGTATTTACTGTTAACAATAAAAATAGGCTAAGTTAAATTTTATTAAATTAATAAACCATCCACTTCCTCGACCTTTCTATGGCCGTTACGAATAGTTAAACTAATTTTTCTTGGACGTGACATTTTTTTGACAATGCAGAATGTGGCAGAGCTTGTTTTTAATTAAATTTTTCGACCTTCGTCCTTGTGGGTTTAACCGGAAGCTTCGCCAAAGCATGCCGTTTTTTTAAACGACTATAACAATTGTTTTGGAACGAATCATCGAATCAATAAATTAATGATAGAAGGCTATCCTTTAAAACAAAGAAATTTGTTTTATGTAGGTACATACATGTACCATACACATTCCTGTTTTTTACTTAAAAAAATTAACCAAAACAGTTATATCCAAAAATTTTTGCAAAATATGGGACATAGTATTAAAGAGCATTTTTGAAAATAACAAGTTTCATGAAAATATATAATTTTTTCAATTCATTAAAACTTAAAGAATGTAAATAAATAAGTGCGAAAAAATTCAGGGGCTGATTCCCTGTGGAAAAATAAGGTGGGTCTTTCATATAAAAAAATCTCATTTGAACATCCACTGTGAAAATACAGACCCTGAAAAAGGGTGTCAAAAAAGTAGTTTTTTTTCCGAAATACCAAAAAAGTGACAGAAATGAAATTAAGTACACATTTTTTGCTATCAAAAAGGCACTCAGTAAATAATTTGTTGATTTTCCCCTACGGTTGTAACGGATAGAAAAAGCCACCCCTAAGACTTGTTTCGTACATAACTTTTTTCTTATTACTGTGCCTTACTATTTAAAAATTTATTTCAGATAACCCGATTCATTCTAAATAAAAAAATTAAGTTACCATTAACGAAATGTCACAGGTACCTATTAGATAAATTAGAGTTCAATAAAATTGCCATGTATTTGATTTTAAATATATTTTGTGCTCAAAAATCGTTAATTTTGTGAAAAAATTACAAGAGACTTTTTTTGCTTAGAATGAATCAGGCTATGTGAAATGAGTTTTTAAATTGTGAGGTAGTAATAAGAAAAAAAGTTACAAAACAAATCTTAGGGTTTTTTCTGCCCCTTACAACCGCAAGGGAAAATCAACTAATTCTCGATAGCAGAAAATGTCTACTTAATCTCATTTCTGTCACTTTTTTGGTATTTCAGAAAAAAATTTAAAACTATTTTTTTGGCACCCTCTTTAAGCTATTGTATTTTCACAGGAGATGTTTAAATGAGATATTTTTATACGAAAGACCCACCTTATTTTTCCACAGGGAATTACCTCCTGATATTTTTCACACTTATTTATTTACACCCTGTATATTGAGGTTTGTGGTTTCAACTTTTATTGAAAATTTCTGATAAACTATTTCAAGCTAAATAATTATTTTTAATCTACCTTTAATTTCTACTTGAATTTACTGCTTTCTTAGAAGATAGGAATATTATTTTATACTCATTATAAATCAAACATTAATAAACTAAAATTTATAGGCACATTTCATTGCCATTCTTTACGAAATTAAATATACCTAAAGGCAAGTTTTAAAACAGATTGTATGAATCTTTTCTCAAAGTACAGATGTTTTTTATATTTTTGTGTGCAAAATATTTTAAGATGATGAAATAGCCATCAGAATTTCAAGCCATTATAACAAGTACGTTTAATATTGCTTCCTTGAAGTATACAGTGATACAAAAACTGCGTTATTTACCATATTTTTTTATTACATTAATCTGTTAATAAGATAATCTAAGTACTCCATCAAAATTACAATCATCTTAATCAGGACATCCTGACGAAAAACTAAATTAAAAAATTATACAAATTACCTACCTCTGAAGAATAAATAATGACAGACACTCTATTAAATAAAAAAATTATACAAATTAGCTCTGAAGAATAAAAAAACACTATTGTATATTTTTTTATATATGTAATTACAAGGCAGTCGTTCAAAAAAAATCTCACTTATATTATATTTACAAAATCTTACTACTTTACTGTACCATATAATTTTTAAAACCTGGAGTGCATGTAGTAGTCTATCGCTGTGGAAAACGCTGCAAAACCCGCAGCCCCAACAATACCAGCTTTAACGCCAGCTACAAAAAATGAAATTATAACTAAGTATTATGTTTGTCTATCATTTTCTTACCTCTCAAACCGATTAAACCACCAGTAACCGCGCCAGCATATGTTCCGTTCTTCCAATCAGATCTACCTCTTGCCTAAAAAAACAACTTTAACACTACACCCAATTTTTGCTATGAAATTTCTTACAGTTTCTATAGCACATTCTACTCCTGAGAACAAGGCACCTATAAGAGCAAAATTCTTAGCGTAACCCAGCGTGGTCGTTTTCATTTCTTTAAAAACCTGCCTCGCAGTTTGCTCTGTATCTGAGATAGAAGCAGGCCCCATACTAGAAGAAAACAATCCTATAGCGGCACCCAGTCCATATCCTGCAAGAAGAAATTGTATTCTTTCTCCTATATTTTAGAAATCATTTAATAATTTACCTACAACGCAGCTCATGAGAGATTTGAAAAAACAGCTTTCAAAGAAAGACTCGACCATTTTTTCCTCATTGCTCTTGATTTGGACCGGACCCAAGTTTTTTGGAATTATTATGTTTTCTCTATACCTATAATTGTTGCCTACAAAGTATTTGGTCAGGGATGACCATTCTTCATTGGTAAAATGCCGTTTCTCTTGAGGGTTGGACATGTTTATATTCAAATTTTATAGGTTAATTGACATAACCTCAAATTTGAATTATTTCTAAATAATTGTAGAAATCTACTATATTTGTATGAACACGAAGTGAAGCTACTAAACTTCTGAGGGCGCCACTAACGTCAGTTATTGTCAAGAAACAAGAAACAAAATGAAAATTATTGCCTATATATTTACATTGCAACGTGTAAAGTAAAAGAGCCGTTAAATTATGACGTACACCGAAGACCATATAAAAAGCAAGCTGATCAAAGAATTGGAAGCAACGCATGTGGTAAGTAAACAAGTTTCATAAAAATAACACCCCAGAGCTGTCAAAATACTTAACCTCTTAAAATCGATTACACAAAGTCGGCATTGCCCTGCCACATCAGCCTTTACAGCTAAAGTACAGTGTTTTAAGTTCGAAAGTGCATTTTATCTATGTCGATGTCGATACCTAGTGAGATCCTAATCTATAAAGGCTGTATTTTTCCGCATGTGGTCACGAACTTGCTTGGTGTGATCTAACCAAGATGTAAATTCCTGTCGGCCATAGAAAAAGCAATAACAGTTAGTAGTAAACACATCAACTTCCTTCTGACAATTAAAATGGATTGCAAAATAAGCTGTGAATCATGGCTGGTGATTTTTGGCACTCTCCTTGCAATACTACTTAGAAGTTGCACAAGCTTACACCCTTACTCAGGCGAAGCATCCCCTCCGATGTATGGTGACTACGAAGCTCAACGGCACTGGATGGAAGTCACCACCAACTTACCCGTCACAGAATGGTACAGAAATGGTACCCACAACGATTTAAACTACTGGGGCTTGGACTACCCACCTTTGACTGCTTACCACATGTACTTGTGTGGGAAAATAGCCAGTTTTATAAATGAAAACTTCACGAAGCTACATGACTCACGCGGATACGAAAGTGAAACACACAAAGTGTTTATGCGCTCAACGGTACTCATCAGCGATGTATTCCTATTCATTCCTGCCATGATTTTGTATTACCAGACAGCTCTTAAGATAGCAAAGACTCAGGATAGTGAAATTAAGAAGAAAAAGCAGAAAACGACAAGGACTTTAAATGAAATCAAACCTATGAATGTATCGTTGTCTACGACTCTAGCCCTGCTGTACCCAGGAATTATATTAATAGATCATGGCCATTTTCAGTATAACTGTATATCCCTAGCCTTTGCTATATTTGCAACAACTTGCCTGCTACAAGAAAAGAACGTATTGGCATCCTTCTTCTTTTGTCTAGCGTTAAACTACAAACAGATGGAGTTATATCATGCTTTGCCCTTCTTTGTGTACCTACTAAGTACTTGTGTTCCGAAACCTGGGCAGAGCGCTTTCTGGGGCATATTAAGGCTAGTAAAAATAAGCCTGACTGTTATTGTAACGTTTGTGATAATTTGGTTACCGTTTTTGACCGATTTCGACTTGTTACTTCAAGTTCTGCATAGACAGTTCCCGTTGGCCAGGGGAGTCTTCGAAGACAAAGTGGCCAATGTCTGGTGTGCCTTAAATGTGATTTTCAAGTTCAAAACCAAATTTGACAATTACCAAATGATGCGGATCTGTCTGTTCGCTACTTTATCAGCCATTTTCCCCTCGTCCGTCGATTTATTCCTACGGCCTAACTTAAGGAAATTCGTCCTAGCTCTAGTCAACTCGTCTCTGGCATTTTTCTTGTTCAGTTTTCAAGTACACGAGAAGAGTATACTTATAGTCGCGGTACCAGTTTTGATGTACTTTCCCTACGCACCCTTTGTTTGTTTTTGGTTCTTGTGCATTTCCATCTTCAGTATGTTGCCGTTACTCATAAAAGATGGTCTAGTTATAGCTGTTATAGCTCTAACGGCATTCTACATTGTGTCGTTCAGGGTCTCTATAGAACATGCATATCGTAGCTCTCTAAATGTTCAAGACGGTTTGGGGGAGTATTACAAAAGTTTACTCCACACCCTGTTGGACATAGAATATAAGAAAGCGACACAGTTAGGTATAATAAAAATCGTACACCAGCAGGTTATTAAAAATTCTTACGCCTTAAGGACTCTTGTACTTCATTTTGGAATGCTCTTGTCTCTGGTAGGATGTTTAGTTTTGTTTCTTGTCACATTACTGTGCGAGCCGCCGGCACGATATCCAGATTTATTCCCACTTTTGATTTCCGTTTATGCGTGTGTACACTTTCTCGGATTCTTTGCGTATTTCAGCGTGAAGCAGCTCAGGATACCTCAGCAGTTCGAGGATATAAAGCATGTGAAGACCTTTTAAAAACATATCTTTAGCGTAACATTCCCTTTTTGTTATTTATACAGTGTGTTTAATGATGTCGTATTGCAGCGGAAAGGAAAATGTTATTGTATTTGTTGTAGTTGTCCATTTTTTTGTTATAATTTGATGTTTCTATAAATAAAAGGTTAACAGTGACTAAGTATTCTTTTTCTACATAAAAAATTATACTGAAGAAGTACTTGCATTTTGTTTTTAAAATTTATGAATTATATTTTAAATAGCTAAAGTTTTGCAGGTAAAAGTTGTTTATAAACTTCATCGATAAATTCATATTAATGTTTGTAATTATGCAAGACGGTGATAAAAATAATTGTGTCTATTTTCAGAAACCTAAAGTTTAGAAAGAGACAAAAAAGCCTTTTGTAATACAGTTTGGGTGTATTTTACATATTCCATTGTAATATATTTACAGTTATCTATTGTATGTATGCATAATGTTGTAAACGTTTTGTATATATTTTTTTGTTTACTTCATGTAGGAAGTAGTAGATGAGTCTGACGGTTGTGGAGGAAAGTTTTCCTGTGTTATCGTATCAGAGAAATTTAAGGGAAAGCCTTTGCTGCAAAGACACAGGTAAGTCTTGTAGTTCTATTGATCAAAAAAGTATTTGATTTTAAATTAGGAATTACAATTAAGATATAGGTTCTTCAAATACAAGAATTATTAATGATAACGAAGTTCTTAGACTTTTTTAAAAAATAATTTTAACATTGAACCGTTCGTGATGAATTTTTTTTTTATTAAGGCTTGTCAACTCTGTCCTTCAAGAAGAATTGAAAACTATACACGCTTTTTCCCAAAAAACCTTCACTCCTGAGCAGTGGGAGCAAGAAAAATAAAATGTTGTGCAACGGTAGTGTTCTTCCTCCTAACATCCATCCAACAGGTAAAGTTTTTTTTATTAAACATATTCTGGGATTAATTGTTCAGACTTAAAATTTTAATTTGGGTGGTAAAATAATAGTCCCAAAAGGGATCATCCGCTAGTGCCTCATTTCGGGATATAGGATGTTAAAATTCGATGAAACTTGGATTAACGATTTTCTAATTAAAAGTAAAAATCTGCTGAATCCATATACATATAAGGATGGCAGAGATTATTACTAAAAACTCCAGAAATTCGATGCCACTGGATATTTTGGAAATAAAATCACTACTTTTAAGTCATTTTTCTAAGAAAAAAGATCTCATTTTGTGTCGATAATCGAAAAATCTCCACGCTGATGAATTTTAAATATGATTTTAAATGTAGTGTACAAATATTCGCAAAAATTCCAAGAAATCGTTGGTGTTGAAATTTCTCAACATATGGTATCTCCTCCAGTCTGTTCTTTTATTTTAGTAACAGATAGACAGTTGGTACACCATTGTGGTTTCCAAATAGATAAATTTCATCAATCTTCAGGGCTTCCCCAAGGATCAATTCTGAGTCAACTCTTGTATATTATGTTTATTATTGATCTGAATGTCTTAATGTCAATTGCTTACCTCATGTGGAAGAGCGTAAAATGTTTTTTGGAATTAAATCTTCTATTGACTGCTAGATTACAAGATAATCTTTAAAAATTGAAATAATAATCTACCTTTGAATATAAGCAAATGTAAAATTATGTCTTACAATCCACATAAAACTAATACAGATTTTGATTACAAAAATGTTGATTCTTTTTTAAATAAAGTTAAAGTGTTACTTTTAATGCTAAAATATCATTCAATTGAATATATCATTTCTGTAAACAAGTCTGCTTTTAAAAACATAGGCTTTCATTGTATGGAATCACATTTGTAATGTTTACAATATTCAATTGGAGAAAGCGCTACAGGAATACTTAAAAACTATATGTTTCATTAGTTATTGAGTTTATCCTCCTTGTGGTACACCTTGAGAATTATTGCTTTCTTTTAATTTTAATAGTTTTTGTTGCAAATTAATTATGTTTTTCAGTCGTATTACTTTTTAAAATTATCAGTAATACATTATATGGTGTTTTAAAGATTTTACATCATGAAGATCGACTTGAAATACTTTTTCACTATGAATAATTTATTTTTTATTTTTTTTCAGTAGATGTTAAGCAATTCTTATATGTGTCTTTTACTTTATCTATTTTATTTGTTGTGCTTTTTTCAAAATTCGACGTTCTGTACTTTTAAAATGCAGCATTTCCAGGCATTTCTCCATATGACTATTATGGCTACCGAATTCAATTTTTAAATCTGGTCAAATATGCTCGACACATCTTGTATAAGTTAAAAAAAGCGTCAAAAGTTAAAACGAATGTAAGCTCGATTTACACTAACCTCAAAATATTTTTTACAAAATAGGACTGACGGTGAGCGTATCCGCACCCGGCAAAGTCATCTTGCATGGAGACCACTCGGTAGTTTACGGGAAATTGGCACTGACCGCAAGCTTGGGACTCAGAAGCAGAATGCGACTGATCGAGATCAGCGCCCCTAATCTGGTCATATTTCAACTACCCATTTTGGATTTTACCTTAACATATGATCTGGAGGTTAGTCAATGTACAATTTCCTTCCTCGTCGTTTGAAAACTGCCGTTTTGTGAACGCCTATCACTTGATATTTTATATTACAGAAGCTGAGGGAATACCTTCTTATCCCCATGCTTCCCCTTACCCACAACGCAAACGAATTCAACTGGGAGTACCCCGAGATGATCCACCACGACGCCATCCTCGACATCGTCGATAGCTTCATAAGTTACACCTCTGGCACGGCCCCGCTCAACGTTCACCAAAAGATGGCGCTGTCTTCTGTATTTTTCCTGATCGCTGGCATCCTGGGCTCAGTTAACATCGAATTAAATTCGTTCCTGATGACTTGCGAGACGGATCTCTTCATCGGTGCCGGCACGGGTAGTTCGGCTTCGTTCGTGGTCAGTTTGGCTGCAGCTCTATTGCAGTTTGTCAAAATGAAGACTGGGGGCCAAGGGAACATTTCCAAGGAGGAGTACAAGGCCTGTTTTTTGGATGCGGGCAGTGACAAGAATTTCAGCAAGCGGGAGTTGGACATGATCTGCAAGTGGGCTTTTTGTGCAGAGAAGATCGTCCATGGCACTCCGTCTGGTGAGTAATTCTTGTACATATTTCAAGTAAAATATTGACGGTTTATTTTTTTATATTCAAAAAATGTATTTAAAAAAACGTATTTTTACTCTGTTATTAATGTATTAAGCTAATTTATTTATTACTTATTGTGTGGCTTTATTTGGTAAGATTTTTGAGAAAAAAAATTTGTTTTTGCTTCAATTATCTTTAATATCTTTACAATAGAGTAAACATGTATATAAAACAAATGTATATACAAATTTAGTGCAGAAAAATATTTCAATATGTGGTTCTTTTAAAAAAAATAATGTGAACTTCGTAAACAGCATTTTCCTATCACGCACAGTGGGGAAAAATAGACAAAAGTGTCCGTTAAGACATACATTTCGATAAATCTTGATAATTTTTCTTTTAAATTATTCACAGACACTTATTCTACATAAACCCCAAACCCACAAACCCAAACCCAACCCACAAAACCCAAAACCACAAATCTCTAACCTACAAAACTCAAACCCACAAATCCCTAACCCTTAAAACCTAAATCCACAAACCTTAAAATCATAAAAACCAAAATCATAAACTTCCTAACCTATATTCTCCAAACTCATATAGCTTAAGGAGGTTCGATACTGAAAAAAAAATGGTAAGAAAGTTTTCAAAGCAATTGGAATCTGTTAATAAATATGCAAACTATCTCGTGTAAAAATATCAGATCGATTGCCAATGTAGTTTTTTTGAAAAATGATATTAAAAATTATGCTCTTATGCACGGCTCTTATGGGAGTTGGGGCAAAAACTTTAATCAAACGTGAATATTGCTCTTAAAAATGGTTAGGATCGGGAAAATAAAATTGTAATTAAAGAATTAAATATTACTAAACATTTTAAAACAATAAAAATATGCACTTACAATGTAATTATTGAGATAATGGAATGAATATATAACGTTTTGACAAATTTTAACAATCATCTGATCCAATGAAAGGAAATATGGCAACACTGTATGCTGTATTTAACGCTTCGACTGACGCGCTATATTTGAATAGCTCCATTATAGACTATAAAATTATTCCAGTTGGAAACATATGTAGTAATAATTAATATTAAATAAATTTTTCGTGATTTAATGAAATGCAATACACTAGCAATTTGAAACAAATATTGAAAGGATCTTTGCAAAACGAACAGTATAGATGTTCTGTCATAATCTCCAATTTGACAAGGCGACGTCTCACTATTATACACTGAACTTCTTGATAGTTATCATATGGATTCTCGGTTTGCACATTTTACTTTTTTCTCATCAATCCACATTCTGTTTTATACGCATTTTATATTACTTTTCAGTCATTATTTTTCCTTTGTACCTTGGATGTTCATTCATGTTTACGGAATACGCGCAAAGTTGACAGTAATTACAGTTGACCCAACTTTTACCACCACGCCGTGGCAATGTTGCCAGATTTCATCCATAATTTTACAAGCTCTTAATGAATAAATAGACACTTTTATTCAAATAAAAAGTTAATTGCCATGCATTAAACACGAAAAATATATGCAAGCTAATATGTGTTGTATAAATTTCATTCGTATATATTATATTTAGTTCGCTCAAATTAGTTTATGTAAGGTTGGTACTACAACGAAACTACCGTCTATGAGCATAGGCTTCCCTCCCGCACCGCCTGGCCCGCTAGAGATGTATCAAACCTTCTTAAACCAAGAAATCCCAAATTCACAAAACCCAAACCTATAAACCCCAAACTTAAATCCACAAACCTTAAATTTATAAAACCCAAAACCATTAACTTCGAACCCAACAAACCTTAAAGTTTTTGTATCGTGTTTTTTTGGGGGTACCTGTTCTATAGTTTTCCGAAATGAACTTGCAAAGTACTTCGTATGATAATTTGTATAATACCACATGATAATTTCTTTAGTTTAGGGTGTGGTTGCAGGATCACATGTAGAACAAGTGTCTGTGAATAATTTAAAAGAAAAATTATCAAGATTTATCGAAATTTATGTCTTACGGACACTTTTGTCTGTTTTTCCCCACTGTGCCACGCCTCTGGACAATCTAGTGTGATCTTTAACAATGGCGCGTATTAGTCGCAGCGCATGCACAATTGACAACTGGGCTATGCATTGTTGTCAAATCTTATAATTTAAGGGAAAGATTATTAAAAAGCAAATTTCACATCACCTGCCGTGAGGTACTGCTCCTTTGGATAAGCCACCTGATATCGTCTTCTTGTAGCAGAATCGTTTTCTCTGGACAGAAAATAAGCTCTAATCATATCGGGTCTTTCTTAATGTTTTGTCATAATATCAATTAGAAACTTGATACAAAAACACAATACACTGTACCTCACTAAACACTGAAAGAAATAACTTCATAAGGTTATACATTTACACCAGATATACGAATACCTTTTTATGGAACATGAAGAATGTAACAGACGATATAATCGGCCAATCCCATTCCGCAGAATTAACGTGGCAGTTTTTAACGCGTTTACTCATATAAACAGGGCATGTAAATGGGGCGTCCTACCCCATCCGCCATATTCACCAGACACTGACCCTTCCGATTATCACTTGTTCCAAACAATGGCACAAGGTCTAGTTGAGCAGCACTACTATTCTTATAAAGATGCCTTTGGGCGTGGAAATAAAATGCTGCCAGAAAAAGTAGTGGCTAACGATGGACAGTACTTTCAGGAGCATGTTTTTTTACAATTTTTTACAATTTTTTTTCCAATAAGGCATTAATTTTCATGAAAAACCGAGAACTTGTTCAACATCCTTATACAGGGTCGGAAAGTCCCCATGGTTCATCGGCCGTTACGTGAAAGCAATAAAGAAAGTCATAGAAATCCGTGCGATAGAGAAAGATGGCTATAATGAAGGCGTCTAATAGTCACCTTCCATTTCACCCTTCCACAAATAAGATCCACTTCTTATTCTTCATTATAGCCATCTTTCTCTATCGCACGGATTTCTATGACTTACTTTATCACTCTCACGTAACGGCCGATGAACCATGGGGACTTTCCGACCCTGTACATTGTTCAAAAACTTTAGCACCCCGTATCTCGAAATCTAAAAAATCCAAAAAATCGCATTTTGAAATATTTTTATGCACCTAAGTTACATCCTGTATCCAACAATTTTTAGGCGTGGACAACACCACCTGCACCTACGGCGGCATCGTCGAGTTCCGCAAGGGCCTGGCCCCCAAGCTCCTCGAGATGTTACGCCCCCTCAAGATCCTCCTCATAAACACCAAAGTCTCCCGCGAAACAAGGAAGTTGGTCTCGAAGGTCGCCGCCCTGCATCACCAATACCCCGACCTGACCAACAACATCCTCAATGCCATGGAAGACGTCGCTTTCATTGCCCTCCAGCACATAACGTCGCTGTGTACCTGGACGGGCACCACAGAGGGACTGGTTAACGACCAAATCCGAAACAGCTACGAGGAGCTGGGAAGGCTGGCATCGATCAACCACAGCCTGTTAAGCGCCCTGGGGGTGTCCCACTTGAGGCTGGACGAGGTGATTCATATTTTGGCCGAGAACGGGCTTCAGGGGAAGCTTACGGGCGCCGGAGGGGGAGGGTATGCTACGTGTTTGGTTTCGCCTTACGTTAATCCCAGCGTTTTGGAGAAAGCTATGTTAGATTTGGACGCTAGGGGTTTCCAGGCCGTTTTGACGGAAGTGGGTGGCAACGGTGTGATGATTGAGTAGTTGGGTGGAGGACTTGGACAAATGGTGCTTTCTTATTGGAATACTCTCGAACGACAAGTTATTCGGTAGATTTAAATATTAATTTCAGGTTGTTAGTTACGCTGGATTTTAAATTGAATTTATTGGAGGGATATTTGTCGATGTTTCGTTGTTTTATTAAAACGTCTTCAGGACATACATAAACAATCGTAAAAGTGTACTAATTAAAAATAATAATAAAAAACTGTGACCAAATGAAAATAGCTTCTAAGATTTCAGTAAAATTTAATATATACAGAGTGTTTAAAAAATCTGACCGGGTGTCTAAAAAAATCCTTATAATTCAAGTTTTGATATTTCATGAATTTCTTCTCTTAAATAAAAATAATATGTAATTAGACTATTTTTGTTGTGGCGTTTGTAATAAAATGTTTATTCATAGAGTCCGGAAGATGTAATAAAACAACGAAACATTGACATTTATATAAATTGATTTTTTCCCACGATATTGACTTAAAATTAGTATATTAAGGTCCCTAAACCTTTTTGGCGTAATAATAGTATAAAGGTTTATTTATTATATAAATATACTTGTAAGGTAAGAGCTATTCAGTTTTAACAACTGCATTTAAAAAAAAAACATTTTATATCACTCCGAAATGCTGAATTGACCAAATTTGGTGGTATGCAGCAGAAATGTCCCTATTTTTCCAATTATGTCGTAGGTACCACCTGAATAATTTTTTTTTAAATGGGAAATTTCCCAGCAGCATTTACTTTTTTTTTTTTTTGTCATTTATTTTATTCCGATGCCACTCTTGATGCTGTAGACCCCAGATTTAGTTAAGCAGAAAGAGTTATGTAACTTTCGATATCTTCCTACATGTTAGAATAAAAATTAATAATATAGCATTTTTTTAATCTCAAATACAAAATAAACGCTTTGTACAGAGTGTAACACAATGACGTGTCTAAAATGAATTTTCTGGATTTATGTTGCTTCCCTGTAGCTAAAATCTGTTGGCATAATTTTGGTATTAGGTCTATCGCATGTCCTGTATCTGCCCCGTGCACCGCAATTCCTGATTTTTCAACGTTGTTATTTTTAAAGTGAGATTTGTACTCCTATAATTTCTGGCTAACATATTTTCCGAACATACAGGGTGTCCCATCGGGAAATGCGTCGATGGATATCTAGGAAAGTACTGCTCCAGAAATTTGGAAATTTGGCAACATGGCAATGTCCCTGGGGCGAACACAGCTAAAGTATCTAGAACTTTCCAGCAATTCTGGTTATACCTGAAGTCGACACCAACTTAGTTATTTTAAATGGGACACCCTGTATATTATTACAGTTTCATATTCTATGTGAAATTTTAGGGTCACTTCATTAAATATTCTCTATACCTAGGAGTTATACAATTTGAGATATTAATATTTAAAAAAAAAATTTGACAGACGCAGGGGTCCGCGGAGATGCTAGTAACTATTTTCAAGAGTGTGATATCTAGTGGGTTTTTGGTACCTGTAAAGAGCATAGGTAAAACTACATTATGGTATACCAACAAATTAAGACATTTTGATAACTTCAAACAGCTATAACTTTGTTAACTTAAATAGAACACCCTGTATTTTTTTTCTCTGTCGTATGCAGATTGAAATTTCCTTTCAAACCATATGAGCATTGTTAGGGTTGTCGTTACTACTTTTAGAGATATTTTCAATTTTCTGTTTTTTCTTGTATCAGACCTGTTGTCAAATTGACCATGATGACCATTGACCAATTGACATTTGTCAAGTTAGTTGCCAAATTAATGTTGTGTCTGAATAGTTTTTGCCGAAAATTTAATTAAAAATGCTTGAGGATCATTTAAATTATACTAATGAGGATTATTTAAATTTTTTTATTTATCGAAAATGTGACAAAATTTCAAGAACATGTAGAGAATTTGCTACATTGCACACATTGTCCATAAATAACAAACAAATTAAAATAATCCTCATTAGTATAATTTAAACGATCCCCAGGCATTTTTATTTAAATTTTCATCAAAAACCATTACAGACAATAACAATTTGACAACTAACTTGACAATTGTCAAGTTGTTTTAATTGTTTTGAAGTGTTTCTATTCTAGTCATGGCCAATTTGACAGGTCTGATGCAAAAAAAGTGTCCAAAAAATAGAAAATTGCAAATAGCTCTAAAAGTGGTCGGCAACCTTAACAATGCTTATAATGGCTTGAAAGGAAATTTCAATCTGCATTCGACAGTAAAAAATAAAGGGTGTCCCATTTAAGTTAACAAAGTTATCAAAATGTAACGACAAACATGAAACACTTCCTATTAAATGTTTTAATTTGTTGGTATACCATAATTTAGCATTACCTATGCCCTTTACAGGTACCAAAAATCCACTTGACATCACGCGCCTGAAGAGTTACTAGCATCTCTGTGCACACCCCAGCATCTGTCAAATTTTGTCTTTAAAAATTAATACCTTAAAATCTATAACTCCTAGATATAGGGAAATATTTAATAAAGTGACCCTCAAATTTTACGTAGAATCCGAAAATGCAATAATGTATAGGGTGTTCAATTTAAAATAACGAAGTTGGTGTTGACTTCGGTATAACCGGAAGTGGTGGAGAGTTCTAAATATTTTAGTTGTGTTCGCCCTAGGGACACTGCCATGTTGACAAATTTTCAAGTTTTTCGGAGTAGGACTTTCCTAGGTAGCGATCGACACAGTTTTCGGTGGGACACCCTGTATACTTTTCTTTTCCAAAGTTTTAATTAGCACTTATTTAAAATTTAAATACAAAACATACTTTTTTAAAATTTTATGACTGTCGTGACACCACCAAATCAAAAAAGGTACGAAGACCTGAAAAACAATAAACTAAAAGTAAAAAGTATTTTAAAAACAATCTTTTATATAATAGACCAGTGCTTAAGCCTTCAAAAATGGTAAAAAGTGAAAAAAAATTATAGTGAGACGAAACCCATTGAAAAAGGAAGAGAATATAACAGAAATGAAAGGGAAAATAATTTACGGGCAACTGAGGTCGGGAAGGGGAAGGGGGCAAGTTTTTAAGGGTAAAAAACGGTTTCCCTTGATTTCCTGAAAAACTACAAGTCTTATGGAAAAAAGTTAAATGGCAAAGTTGTAGGTAATAAAAAGATCTACAACTTTTGTATTTACACTTTTTTCAAATAACCTCAAAATTTATGTGAAAAATTCAAATAACCAAGTTTTTGGTTCTTCATTTTTATCTTTTACAAAAAAAATATTTTTTTCACGAAATTTGGTGAAAACTTACCTATTTATGTCCCAAACACGCCGTAATTTTTTTGATTTGAAATATTTATTTTTTCACCTTATTTTTCCTTAATATCGAAAAGCACCCTAATTTTCAATCGAAAATTCTCACGTCAAAATATCTGCTTTTTTAAAATCGTTGATGGGCCTTTTCTTCGTTGAAATCTCTACTTTCTGGTGGTGTAAAAAAAAATATACATTACTATGGTAAGTTTTCTCAGGAAATGCAAAGTAACGAAAAAAAACTAGAATCCGAAAATTTTTTTCTAATCATTATGTACAATTTTGAGCTATTTATTAAAATTTACACTTTAATTACTCAAAAAACGTAAGATTCCATGTTACATTGATAAACAAAAAAAATTACAAATCACAAAACATAAAGATTGCAAAAAACATGCGAAAATAGTTGTTCTAAATATTAAAGATAGGATTTAAAGGGGATTTTATCTAAAAAATGTGACTGCTGCTATTTTTTTCAGTAAAAAAGTTGATTTATTAAATTCTCTATGAAATGCCTTTTGATGGGCTAAAATTTTCCGTAGGTCACTCAGGTATATAAGTTATCTTAAAATAGCAATAAATAGGCATCTACGTATATAATTAAAAGAAGATTCAACAACTTTCTCAAAATATTGTAGATGTCTTATTAAATATAATAACTTTATTAACTTATTTGGTTGTTAATTATAATGGTATATTTCGACTTGTAATTTTTTTGTTTATCAATGTAACATGGAATCTTACGTTTTTCGAGAAATTAAAGTGTAAATTTTAATAAATAACTCAAAATTGTACATAATGATTAGAAAAAAAATTTCGTTTCTTAGCATTTCCTGAGAAAACTTACCATAGTAATGTATATATTTTTTTACACCATCAGAAAGTAGAGATTTCAACGAAGAAAAAGGCCACTTACGTTTTTAAAAAATCAGATATTTTGACGTGAGAATTTTCGATTGAAAATTAGGGTGCTTTTTCGATATTAAGTAAAAATAAGGTGAAAAAATAAATATTTCAAATCAAAAAAATTACAGCGTGTTTGGGACATAAATAGGTAAGTCAAATTTCGTGAAAAAAAATGTTTTTGTAAAAGATAAAAATAAAAAACCAAAAACTTGCTTATTTGAATTTTTCACATAAATTTTGAGGTTATTTGAAAAAAGTGTAAATACAAAAGTTGTAGATCTTTTTATTACCTACAACTTTGCCATTTAACTTTTTTCCATAAGACTTGTAGTTTTTCCGGAAATCAAGGGAAACCGTTTTTTACCCTTAAAACTTACCCCCTTCCCCTTCTCGACCTCAAATCGCCCGTAAATTATTTTTCCTTTCATTTCTGTTATATTCTCTTTCTTTTCCAATGGGTTTCATCCTTTGGTTTCAAAAATTATCGACCCTGGTCTATAAGTGTCATCAGCAAAAGTATGATAAATAGACACGTACTATCTAGTCAGAATGTTTATAGCTAGTTTTTAAAATAATTTTTTACTTTTCATTTACTTACACATTTTTTAGAAATATTTCTCAATCGATTTCAAATAACGCCTCTGCTACAAATCATTGTGGAGTGCTCTCATGCGGGACAATCCTGGCTGCAGCATCAGTTCATAGTGAAGATCATGTTTAGTTATCAAAATCAAACAAATATGAAAAGCTTCGTGTCCGTGCTACTAACCGTTGATTAGTGCCCTCATAAGTCAATCCTGGTCTGGCTGCAGCATCAGGTTATTTCTATCATTTTAATGCATTGTCATTGGAACTGAAAAATTTCAGTTGTAAGTTTAGAGGAAGTGGTACAAATGAACTAAACATATGTGGGAGGCGTAGGGTTAATTTGGGCGTTAATATCACTATTTGGTAACCGGTATCACTCATATTCACAAAATAATAAGTAATGCCGTACCTAAGTGCAAATGATTTAAAATAAGAACGTTACTAATAAAGTACTCGAGATTTTTATGACAACCAGATCCAGAAACCAGAGGCTAGATAAGGAATCTACGACTAGCAGAATAGCAATGTCTTACGTCTTCAATTGTAAATAACTACATATTTCTAAGTTTTATTATCTAGGTACATACAAGTTATAAAAGGGGGTTATGTAAAGACATACATAAAAAGGATTATTTGACTCACACATACTCGAGACTAAGACCAATTTTAATAGGTACTATATTTTTTTAGGTTTTATGAGGAACGTCTTCCTAAAGTTTATCGACAGAATCCAGAAGCACCCTTCCGAAAAATCAATTTTGCCATGAAACTATAAGTTAGGAAAAAAGTGAATGTACACTTTTTGTCAATAACAAACTGTTCTATCTAAGAACAGCATCGTTTTTTATTTTCAGTAGGGCCGTGTTAATTTTTTTTATAATTTAATGAGTCTGAGTCCCCATAACTCCGTCATTGGTTGCTTGCAGGACTTCTACTTCTATGGAAAAATTGTATCTGATAAGAAGATGTGTCATGCCAAATTTTGCTTAAATAGCCTTCCTTCTTTATTTAAAAATTATTTAAAAAATTCGAATTTTTTAAAAAATCTTTAACGCCCGATATTTCGAAAATGAAGCGTCTGGAAAAAAATT